ACATATAAAATGTAATATTGGGACCCAGGCCAACACTTACATCAAAGGAGCCACCACAAAATGTGAGACCCCTGATAAGACTGAGCTGAGACCTGACCGACGCCCAAAAGCTAGCCGAGTCCCCTAAAGCCTGGAGAGACCTGGTAAGACCGGGCTGAGACCCGGCCGGAGCCCAAAAGCTAGCCAAGCCACCTAAAGCCTGGAGAAACCTGATAAGACTTGACTGGGACAGTGAGAACGTCAAAGAACTGTCCAAAATGTCCATGTAAACCCAGGTAGAGACACTGACCTTCAGAGAGCTAGGAACCAAGGAGACATCAACTCCTGCTCTCTCCAACTCTACCCAGGTGAGTACACCGATGAGGCAATGCTGATTGGGACTATGGTGCTAATATGAAATGTGTGAGGAGTGTTATTATTATGCCTTTATGCTCATAGTTGTTACTCTGCCCTTATGCTTATAGCTATTTGCCCTTAGTAGTTTGAGTACTATTTTAGATTGTTTGATGTGTGTTTGCAGTGAATAAACCGAGCTTTCGAAAATGTCTAAGAGCGTTAAGTAACTATTGATCGCACCGCTCATGACTTAACCCTCTCCAGAAGTGCTGGGCCAGACATCCGTGGTGTTGTTTGCTTGCTCTTGTTTTACAAAATCGGTTTTCAGCAGCATCCTAAGCCAGGAGCTTTTCCAGAAGGATGCTGCGTTCAAAGGGGATGACTTCGCTCGCTGAGCCAGAGGTACGCCCTGAGCTGCACGTTCGGCTGCAGGTCAGCTGTTCTCCAGAGCAAATCTCCTGTGACATTACTTCCCAGGGACACCGTCCGAGTGGTGTCTGAGGGAAGGGGGGAAATCAGGTGTTTGGTCGTAAGGTTTGTTCAACGCTCTGGGCAAGCATGCTAGCGGGCTTTCATGATCACAGCCCCCACCCCCCACCCCAAGGGTGTTCATCAACATTGCGATTCTTCAAAGGCAGAATATGCCTTCCTCGGGGACCCTCTTGCTAAGCTATTGCTTTATTACAGAAAAGAAAATAAATGGGGGGAAGGGATCATGCCACTTCAGGACATGCTTAATCTTGGTTTGTTTTCTATGTTAAAATGACACAGAATAAAGTCCCAACCTGGACATTAAAAAAAGGAAAAGACACCGAGGAAACACACATTTCTCTCGTTCGTTAATGCTTCCTCTCCCTCTCCCCCACTGTCATGACCTCAGGTCTGTCTACCTTACAAATCCGGCTAGACCGGAGCATGGACACTGGCGCAGATAAGAGCTTGACACCTAGAATGCAGGACAGAAAAGCCCACAGGAACACTAATGGGAGTAGCGCTACCATGAGCGTAGGAGGAAGGTCAGGGGAGAAAGGGAAGAAACAGGGAACTGATTGCAATGATGGACCTACAACACACACACACACACACATACATACACATACACACACACACACACACACACACACACACACCAGGGGGACGAACAACAGAAATGCGGGTAAAGGGAAACAGCGGCTGGTGTAAAATACGAACATAATAATAATTTATCATTTATCAAAGGGTCATGAGGATGGGAGGGGCTGGGTGGGTGGGGAAAAGGAGCTGATACCAAGGGCTCAAGTAGAAAGAAAATGTTTTGAAAAAGCTGATGGCAACATATGTACAAATGTGCTGGATACAATCGACATATGGGTTGTTAGAAGAGCTGTAAGAGCCCCCAAAAAAATGATTTATTTTAAAAACAAAGAAAGAAAAAGAAAGGTGAGGTACCTTTCTAGTGCCACAAGGTTAGTAAGTGAGGCTCCTGATTTCAGAGAATTCCAGAATGTGCGGCGGGGGGTGGGGGGGCAGTGGGGTCCGCTAAGGTGATACCGTCTTCCCCACAGGGCCGGGGTGGGGGGACTTCCCTAAGCACAGTGCCTGCGCTGCAGAATTTTTACTGTCACCGCATTTTCTTTCTAACCCAACGTCTTCCTAAGAAGGAATGATTCTTCAAAGAATCCTTATCATAATCAAGGCCCCTCCCCTTTTTTTGCTAAGGACATCGTTGACCCAAGGCCTAAATTAGCCACCTCTTTTATTCGGGGTTCTCCTCTCAGGGTGGTGGTCACTGGACTGCACCACTGCAGCCAGTCCACGAGGCGGGAGAGAACCTTCCTTTCATTCTGCGCCCCCCACCCGCCCCAACAGACCTTCCGCGGGTACTTTGTGCTTATTTTGAAGTGCTGGCAAGAGCAAGGTTCTGCTGTGTTCACGTCGTGCAAAGGACTGCTGACGGTGGGGCCTGAGGGAGCCAGCGGTCCAGATGCAGACAGACACCCACAGGCAAGGAGCCTCGGGCTTGTTAAATTTGGAACCAGATGTTCAGGGCGTGCCTCCCTCACACTCAAGGTTGCATAAGCCAAGATTTCAAAATCCATCCTACTCCGGAGACCTCAAACAAGTGTTCGACGTTCCTGGTGGAGGAAGGGGGGAACAGGGAAGAAGAATAGCTGGTGCTGAATGTCAGGACGCGGTCAAGCGGAATGTTCCTGCTTGTCTTAACTGGGTGACAAATGTTCTGGGCGGTTGGGGCGCGTGGTCAAGCAGAATGTTCCTGCTTGTCTTTACAAAATGGAGTGACTTAGGGCAATCTCGTACACCTCTACACCAATGATGGGGATCGTTTTTAAGATGTCGTCTGATATCTATATAGAAAGACACAACACAGCTCACGCAGCTGACCCTTGTCTGCCTGTGCTTGTCTGCATTCGGCTTCTAACAGGTCACAGGGAAGCTTCGCTTCCTCCTGGGTGGGACTGTGCTGGGCTCGTGTGCCCAGCACAGCACACGCACCTCTTGGTAGCACCCACAGTGCTTTCAGGACTCTAGGGAAAGCCTATGGTGGCCTGATAGCTTTCTACCAGAATATGTTTGGGACAGCTGGTAGCACATTACTGATTTGAGGCTTTTTGCTTTTTCTTTCCCACATTTCACTGGGGAGGGGGAGAAAGAGAGGAGGGGGGGAAAGAGAGGAGGGGGAGAAAGAGAGGAGGGGGTGGGAAAGGCACTCAAGTTGTTATTTTTGAATCACTTTTCTAGAACCAGGAAAATCAGCTCTTGAGTTTCCGTAAACTTGTCTGTTGCCTTAACCTGATGAGAGCACCATAAAACTTCCTTGCAAGACGTTGAACTTCCTTGCAAGATGTTGAACTTCCTTGCAAGACGTTGAACTACCTTACATCAAACTACTTTACAAAATGTGGAACCACATCAAATAAATAAGCACAAGAAACTCAACTTAAAAAATATATCTATATACACATATAAAATGTAATATTGGGACCCAGGCCAACACTTACATCAAAGGAGCCACCACAAAATGTGAGACCCCTGATAAGACTGAGCTGAGACCTGACCGACGCCCAAAAGCTAGCCGAGTCCCCTAAAGCCTGGAGAGACCTGGTAAGACCGGGCTGAGACCCGGCCGGAGCCCAAAAGCTAGCCAAGCCACCTAAAGCCTGGAGAAACCTGATAAGACTTGACTGGGACAGTGAGAACGTCAAAGAACTGTCCAAAATGTCCATGTAAACCCAGGTAGAGACACTGACCTTCAGAGAGCTAGGAACCAAGGAGACATCAACTCCTGCTCTCTCCAACTCTACCCAGGTGAGTACACCGATGAGGCAATGCTGATTGGGACTATGGTGCTAATATGAAATGTGTGAGGAGTGTTATTATTATGCCTTTATGCTCATAGTTGTTACTCTGCCCTTATGCTTATAGCTATTTGCCCTTAGTAGTTTGAGTACTATTTTAGATTGTTTGATGTGTGTTTGCAGTGAATAAACCGAGCTTTCGAAAATGTCTAAGAGCGTTAAGTAACTATTGATCGCACCGCTCATGACTTAACCCTCTCCAGAAGTGCTGGGCCAGACATCCGTGGTGTTGTTTGCTTGCTCTTGTTTTACAAAATCGGTTTTCAGCAGCATCCTAAGCCAGGAGCTTTTCCAGAAGGATGCTGCGTTCAAAGGGGATGACTTCGCTCGCTGAGCCAGAGGTACGCCCTGAGCTGCACGTTCGGCTGCAGGTCAGCTGTTCTCCAGAGCAAATCTCCTGTGACATTACTTCCCAGGGACACCGTCCGAGTGGTGTCTGAGGGAAGGGGGGAAATCAGGTGTTTGGTCGTAAGGTTTGTTCAACGCTCTGGGCAAGCATGCTAGCGGGCTTTCATGATCACAGCCCCCACCCCCCACCCCAAGGGTGTTCATCAACATTGCGATTCTTCAAAGGCAGAATATGCCTTCCTCGGGGACCCTCTTGCTAAGCTATTGCTTTATTACAGAAAAGAAAATAAATGGGGGGAAGGGATCATGCCACTTCAGGACATGCTTAATCTTGGTTTGTTTTCTATGTTAAAATGACACAGAATAAAGTCCCAACCTGGACATTAAAAAAAGGAAAAGACACCGAGGAAACACACATTTCTCTCGTTCGTTAATGCTTCCTCTCCCTCTCCCCCACTGTCATGACCTCAGGTCTGTCTACCTTACAAATCCGGCTAGACCGGAGCATGGACACTGGCGCAGATAAGAGCTTGACACCTAGAATGCAGGACAGAAAAGCCCACAGGAACACTAATGGGAGTAGCGCTACCATGAGCGTAGGAGGAAGGTCAGGGGAGAAAGGGAAGAAACAGGGAACTGATTGCAATGATGGACCTACAACACACACACACACACACA